AACTATACATTTTTTCGCTTGCGGTTCTAATGAATTTTAGCCTCAAAACCGTCCAAACAGCACCACAAACACCCATAATCAAAATGATACCATGTCAATCTCCCAAATCAATCTAACATTTGTAGCTATGAGATGCAACCTAAAAGGGCGTGAATTAAGATTGTCTGGTTTTTCTAGATTTTGCGATATGTTCTTAATTTTCTTTGGATATGAAAATGGTATGTTCTTAACAATATAAACTGCATAACATAAACGAGCACAAGATATTTATACTAGTTTTATTTATCAACCAATGGTACATATAGTCTTTACACCTTGAAGGATTTTTTACTATGTTAAATCCTTGTACAAGCCTCACACCAAGATCTCTCTTAAACACCAAATCTATGGTGGACTTTGAATCTCTTTGTATCAAATGACATTTCCCAAAATCATCAAACACTATGATGATTCTCACACAAACCAGAAAGTATACTATTATCTATTTATAACACTTAGAAAGCAAATCATTTTATTTTGCTAACACTTTTTAGAAAACACACAACTTTCTATTACAAACAATTATCCCTAAATCCTTGGTGATCAAAATAAATTTTGAGTATATGTAATGCTCTTGAATTAATTCCAATACAAAAAAATGATCTTCTCTTTCAATGTATAATTCAAATATAACAGCCTTCAGAGTATTTGAATTAAACTCTTTGAATGATATGAAAATTATGCAAAAAATTTCCTTGTTAAAGTTGTTTGAACACTTGAAATAAATTTGAATTGTATAAAATAATATGTATGAAAGAGGTAATTTGAAAACTAATGTATTTTACCTTAAATACATCCTAAAAAACCTCTAGAAATATATGCATAAGTTTGAGACATTTCTGTCAAGGAATAAAATCCCGAACTTTTCAAATTATCAAAGTAAAGTAAAATCCAAAGTAAAAGTAAAATCCAAAGTAAAAAAAAATTAAAATCCAAATTAAAGTAATATAGGAAAAATATACATCTTAAATTAAAATACTTATCTTTGCACAATGATTTGATGTCAATGTTGATATCAATGTTGATGCTCTTCTAAAGTGATTTTGTTGATAGCAATGAGATTTTTTTGTTGTTGTTGAAAATGTCAATCTTTTCAATTAATCTTAAACCAAATTAAACTATAATCTTACCATATCATATGGTATTATTGTATCTGGAACAACCAATCTTAACTTAATAACTTTAGCACATGGTTTTCAAGTACCTACAAGAAACAATCAATAATACTTTCTAGGTACCCAATATTTTTTAGGTCATTTTGGGTTAGTTTCTTTTCTTACTCACATATACTCACCATTAGGAACACCAAAAATTCTTATGTAGCCAGCCTTAGAATTATGACCTTTTGTATTGCAATAAAAACATGTAGGCTTAAATAAATTCTTATATTTAGAGACATACAAATTATTTTTAACATAGGCCCTCTTAGGATGAATTTCAACTTGCACTTTTCTTGGTTTCACACTATTTAATTTATTTCTAGCCTTAACAAATATAATTTTGCTTGAAATTGGTTTATCAAGTTTAGAGTATCAAAACCCACATTTATTATTAAAGAACATTTGTTTTCTTAGCATATTTTCTAGACCAAATTGTCATTTCTCCTACTTCTTATGACTTGCTTCAATTCAACAAATTTTTATTTAAGTGTTTAACATTTATTACATGCCGAACTTTTTATATTGTCTAATTCCATTTTCATGTCATTAGCCTTACTTTCTAAAAATAACATAATTTTCTTTTTTTCTTTCTTCTGAACATGTTCTGAAAAGTGTCAAATAATCTGCATGCAATTCAAAGTAAGCATTATGAAATTCATCATAAGATGATTCAAAATCACTAACCTCATTTTTTCATCGAAATTGTGTGAAGCTATTAATGCCACATGTGTTTATTCTTCATCTGAAGATGAACTTATCTCATTGTCTCGCCATGCCACATATGTAATTTTTGGCCTTTTGTCTTTCTCGTTGCTGACTTTGATCTTCTTTTGAAGAGTAGGGAACTCACTTTTGACATGACATCTTCTTCCATATTCAAAACATGTTACTTTCTTTCCTGAAGTTGATGATTCTCGTTGACTAATTTTCTTTGTCTTTTTTTAAGAATTTTTCAATTTTTTTGATTAGTGCATCATCTTCATCATCTTTGGATTGTGATTCTTCTTCTTGATCACTATAATATTTAGAATTCGAAGGAAGGGATTTAACTTTAACTTCACACCCTTCATGCTTATCCAATTTATTATGAGCCAATTCACGTCTTTCTGATCGATCAAGTTCCGTTTCATTTTCTTAAAGTTTTCCAAATAATGTAGCCAATGACATTTTGGAAAGACTTTTCTTTTTTGGATATTGCCATCAATTTTGATTTTCATGCTCTCGATAATGATATAAGGAATTTTAAGTTTAGTTTATCATTGGTGATTGATCGTACTTGATCAGAAGGGATCGTCAAGACCCACGAGCTTTAAATCGAGCAACAGTTGAATGTGAAGTGAGAGGGGTACCTGCAAGACACTCTGATGGCAAAGTAAGGTTCAGAGCAAGAGCAAGTAGTGTGTGAGAGTATGGATAAATGAATATCTGACCCTCTCAAGTGATTGGGTATTTATAGCCCCCAACGCTGAGCCAAGGTCCTCATATTGGGCTGGTAGAGCAAACCCAAAATGGAGACTGTCAGAATCTACGTGAGTAGTGGAGACCAGCACATAGTCTCCCTCCTGAATGGACTGCCCCGATTTACCATGAGGACGTGGTTGCAGTATTTTCGAGGTCAAGAGGGCTCTGGAATATTCTGAGACGTGGGTGTCTTCCTTACAAGGAGGGTTCCCGTCAAGACCTCCTGAGATCCGTTAACACTCCTCAACAGTCTTATGGCAAGGAAGTTCCAAGGGGCATGTCCTCGATGCGAGGATGGAGTCGTTGCCCGACATAGTCAAGGGCAACCTCATTCTTGCCGGTCTTCACCTACAGTATAGTTGGATTCTTGTATGCTGTTTAGGCCAAGCGTAAGCCTAGTCTAGAACAATGATGGTTTTTCCAAGAGCAACCAATTGATAGTTAGGATAACAAACCTTTTTGCATATCAATAATACTTTCACGAGGTTGCATCCTAAACAGTTCATATACTTGAGATAAAGTGTTCAATTTTGAACTTTTGACTTCTTCGATTCCATCGTGTGTTACTTTCAATGTTTCCCAAATTTCCTTAACTATTTTGCAATTAGATACTCGGAAAAATTCATCCATTCCTAAGGCAGATGCATATATGTTTTTTTGCCTTCTTGTCAGACATAACTTTATTCTTGTCGTCATCGTACCAAAAACCTATTACCTTTGATTGTTCTACTTTATTTATGACATTTGTAGGAATGAATGGTCTGTCTTTGACAACATTTCATATTTCATCCCCTTGTGCTTAAAAATACATTTGCATACAAATTTTCCATAAATCACAGTATTCACCAACAAAATATGGTGGTTTGTTAGAGCTACCACAATCTTCTAAGAACAGTTTTGCGGAAGCCATATCTACCAGGATCGAGGAGAAAGTTGGCTTAACCTTATTTGATGCTGAATGTAACTATGAGATGCAACCTAAGAGAGGATGAATTATGGTTTCTTGATTTTTCTCGATTTTGCGTTAGGTTCTTAATTTTCTTTGGATATGAAAATTATATGTTCTTAGGAATATAAAGTGCAGAAAAATAAATGAACATAAGATATTTATACTAGTTCCTCTTATCAATCAAAGATGCATCTAGTCCCTTCACACCTTGAAGGATTTTCCACTATGATAGATATTTGTACAAGTCTCACACCAAAACCTCACTTACAATCTTCTAACATAAACACTAAACATATGGTAGACTCTGAATCTCCCCAAATCAAAGGACCTTTTCCAAAATCGCCAAACACTATGATGATTCTCACATACACTAGAAAGTACACTACTTTTTGTTTATAACACTTAGAAAACATACAATTTTCTATTACAAAAACTTTTTAGCACACCACTTTCTGTGTCACAAACAATTGTCACCAAACACTTGTGATAAAAACAAAATTTGAATATATGAAATATTTTTGAATTAGTTTCAATACAAATTTAGAATATACACAATCTTTTTGAATTAATTTTCATAATATTTGAATGAAACTCTTTAAATAATATGAAAGCTATGCACAAAGTTTCATTGTTAAAGTTGTATTAACACTTGAAATGAATTTGAATTTTATGAATAATTTGAATGAAACTCTTTAAATAATTTGAAATGTATGAAAGAGGTAATTTGAAAATTAATGAATTTTGCCTTAAATACATTCTAAGAAACCTCTAAGAATAGATGCATAAGTTTGTGATGTTCCATGAAAATTTACAATAATTTAAAATGACAATGGTCCATGAAAAAATACAATTCTGTATTTTGTATCCAATTTCTTAAATCAGTTAAATGTTTACTTGATTAAAAAAGTACAGAACAATAACATTTTAATATTTTCAACAAATTTCTATTTTATTTTGTTTTTTTGGATTAAAAACGCTTTAGATTTTTTTTTATAATTTTTTTATTTTTGTTTTAGATTAAAAACCCATTAAAGTTTCGTTTTTTGTATTTAAATAATTTTGGAAGTGACTGTCATAATTATTTTTCATTATAATAAAATTTTAAATTTTTTTCCTATTAAAACTTTTTTTAAGGATTATATTGATCAAAACCTTAAAAATAGTTTAGGTTTCCTTTGCTTTTTATTTTTTTATTTTTTTATAATTTTTATCAAAACAAAGTCAAAAGGAGATGAGATGTAATAAAATGTCTACTTTTAATTTACTATACTAATAATTTCCCACACCAAGTTCACCAACTGACCAATGTATACAATGTTGAAACAAGTCAGTCATTGATAGTCAACTTCAACCCTCTCCAATTTCACCACTCAACCCAACTCTCTTAATCAATGCCTTTCGATTTGTTCTTCTGGCTTCTCATTTGTTTCCCTCTCAATGTTGCCCTTTTGGCCTCCGCTTTCTACCAGGTTTTTCACTTTTTCAATTTCCTCCTCATTCAATACAAAAAGAGGATTTTTTCTTCTTCATACTGATATTCAATTTAACTTCAATCCATGTTTTTATTTCTTCCCCCTTTTGGGGTTTTTAGGTTTTGATGTTATCTGACTTAGAAGCTGATTATATAAACCCTTATGATGCTTCGTCTCGGATCAATTACTATGTGGTTCCTGAGTTTATTGCTCAGGGATTGTTTTGCGCTCTCTTTCTCTTTACGGGTCACTGGTTCATGTTTCTTCTTATGCTTCCACTTGCTTCCTATCATGGGGTGCTGTAAGTACATTTTTTTAACAGAAACTCAATAATGTGTTGTGGACTTCTGCTGCTCTAGTTATATTGATTCAATGCATTATATAATGGTTATTTCTGCATTGCTTAGGTCAAGTTTGGATTAGCTTCTAAAACTGTTAGTTAAAATAAGTTGAAAAAGTAGTTATCACTTAAGCACATATGTGTTTATGGACAAGTTTCAACATTGTTGGGTGTGACTCATAGTTACTGATAAGTGGGTGGTCATTCGAGAGTATGGTTTAGGGTTGTACTCTGTAGACCTTAAGCTGAGTTTGTAGTCATAGAGGTAGACACGATTGGCCGAACTTCCTGATCAAACATCGTGTGTTCTTTGTATGTGTTTTCTTTAATATCATTTTACTTTTGAACTAGATTGCTTGTCTAACATGACTGGAAATATTGAGACGTCGAAGTTCGTTTTAACTTATACAACAAATTATTGGTTTTAAAAACTCATCTGTTATTTGGAGATTCACGTAATATCCTTTTTCTAAGTATTTGTAACAAAGTTTGTCCAAATTAGTAGCTCTAAGCTTTGTGCGAGAAAAAGAGTGTGTAACTAAAAAGTGTGGATAAAGCTTTTCAAAGAGATTCAATTTTAGTACTCTCCCAATTCCAATCCAAAGAGTCTCAGTACTACTTAAGCTAAGGCTCGCAGGTTGCTAGTGCCAGATTTTGCTTTGAAAATTGTAAACGTGAACCTAACAAGTTTTTGAGATTTTTTGTTTTTTATCTTGCATAAATTACAAGCCTGAATCTACTTTGTTTTATCTTCTCTTTATTTCCATCAGGATCTATTGAAACTTCGTTTGCAGATAATACATTTTAATTTTCTTCTTCTTTTAAAGTGTTGGATTATTTATGTTAGTAGACATGCTGTTAGTAGGGTGTATGTTAGGAAGGGTAAAAGTTGGAATTTAGCTTATAACTATAATTATTACTGTAGTAACAAATGAGTAACTAATTCTGTTAGTAAAACAGAATTATGCATAATAGTTACAGTTGTAATAGAAGAATAACTAATTATGTTAGTAAAACAGAATTATAAATAGTAATTGGAGGGAAGGGAGAGTTAGTTTTTGAAACTCAATTGTAATTGGAGAATGGCTTTCTTGAATCAGCCAGTTTATTGCATACTCTTAATTCCTAGATAATTCTTACCTTCTTCCCTTGTACCAGACCTTTCAACTGGTATCAGAGCAACACGATCTTAGAGTGACTTATGGTGCACAAGAACATAAACTCCATCACAATGGAGCTGTGACCAGAGGAAGTGGAACGGCGGTTTCAGGAGGTGGAAGCAAGAATGGATACGATAAAGACAGAGATTCTTGAAGTGATGGAGACGCTCATCATGGGGAACCAGCACTAAAGGGACCCAACGATGACTTCAAACCCCAAAACTACTAACGGTGGTGGGGGGAACAATTATGGGGATGCCAATGACGGACTTGGAAATGCGAGTTGATCCACACAAAGTGCACCATAAAGAAGGTATCACAAGGTGGAATTATTGCCTTTTATTGGAGAAGACGCACCAGACTGGGTTGGAAAAATTGAACGTTATTTTTCAATTTAGGCAACTGCTTGAGGAGGACAAGCTTGACACTGCATTGATGGCGATGGAGGGAGAAGCTCTCACATGGATGCCGTGGTGAGAGGCAAGCACTACAACACCCAATTGGTGCGAATTCAATAATGCCATGCTTAGAAGGATTCAACCCATAGTGGTTTCGAATGCGGTGGAGGTGATGTATTGTTGGAGCCGAAACAAGAAGGCACGGTGTGGGAATTTCGAAGGAGTTTTGAAGCTCTTTCTAGGAATTTGAAGATCCAAGATCCAAAACTCATCTGAGGAATGTTCTCTAATGGATTGAGGGAGGAAATTAAGGTTGAAGTGAGGCTGCAAAGACCCAAAGATTTTGCAAAATGATGGATGTGGCTCTACTGGCTGAGGAGAAATTGAGTCTGGGCAAAGCCGGAGGGAATTGCTGGAAACATGAATCTGACTTTCAACAAATGTGATGGGTTTAGAAATTGAAAAGAAGAACCAGGGAGCAATCAAATCAATTATGTCAATGGAGATCAAACAAAAAGTGCGTCAGGAGAACATAAAGGAGGTAAGGATTCATCCCAAAAGTCTTTATCTAGTGAAGAAGTTATGGAAAAAAGAAGAAAAGAACTGTTTCACTTGTGATGAGAAATTCTCTACAAATCATGTATGCAAGAATAAACATTTTCGGATGCTGGTGATAGAAGAAAACAGTGACATGGAAGATTCAAAGGTATTCAAGGAGGAGGAAGTTGTATGGGAAGCACATAAAAAATTTAGATTTGTGTAGTTCAGCAGGAATTACTATAAAAAAGTCTTTTAAAAAGTGGGGAGTTGGAGGAACAAAAGGTTCTGGTGTTAATAGATAGTGGAACTTCTCATAATTTTATTTCTTCTAAGATGATGGAGAAATAGGGCCCAAGGGCAGAGACTCCAATGCCTTATTGGGTCAAGGTGGGAAATGGAGAAAAAAAATCAGTAAGGGGTGTGTGTAAAGGTGTGGAGATCAAATTACAAGGAATTGGTTGTGGTTGATTTCTTTGGAGAAGATGGTTACTGGGAATGGAATGGTTGGAGTCTTGTAGACATTAAAACCAACTTCAAGAATTTTAAATTGAGAATCAAGAAGAATGGGGTCGAGTATGATTTTTTGGGTGAAATGTCATCTGAACAATTGGTGGAGGAGTGGGAAAACACCACAGAAGCCTTTATGGAAGATTGCAGAATTTTACAAGAGGGCAGCAATGGAAAGAATAGCATTGCAAACCCTGTTGCAGCAGTGTTGCAGGAGTTTGAAGATCTTTTTCAGAAGTTGGAAGGGCTACCACCTGATAGGAGGCATGTTAAGATGTGACAATTCATGGGAAAGCATGGATAGCTTACAAGCAGCATTTCCTTCATTTCCCCTCGAGGACAAGGTGAAAGTTCTAGGGGAGAGTATTGTTAGGAGACATGGTTTTAGTAGGGTGTGTGTTAGGAAGGGAAAAGTAGGAATTAAGCTTGTAACTACTAACTATAATTGTTACAGTTGTACCAACTAACAAATGAGTAACTAATTTTGTTTGTAAAGCAAAATTATACGTAGTAGTTACAGTTGTAAGTTGTAACGGAAGAATAACTAATTTTGTTAGTAAAATAAAATTATAAATAGTAATTGGAGGGATGGGAGAGTTAGATTTCGGAACTCAATTGTAATTGGAGAGTGCCTTTCTTGAAATTTATGCGGACCAGTTAGATGAAATTCTATAAACTCTTGTTTTGGCTATACTAAGTCTCGGAATTTAAGTTGGACCTAACTCATCTCTACAAAACTAAAAACCGACTTGTATGGTGAGGATTGTCCCCACTTATAAACACATCACAAGTCATATTTCTAAACAATGTGAGACTAAATCCACCCCTTCAAAGCCAACACAACGAAGGTGTTAGGGCTGCAATGAAGACAAGCCAAAATGCCGCATTTAAGGTGACTTGGTGCGGACCGCAATTAAGGCGGAAATTCCAACACACCCCCTCACAGAAAGCCCAACAATGAATCTAGGATAGACTCTAATACCTGTTGGAAATAGAAAAATAAATTGTATGTTTCCCACTAAAATGAGCATTTAAGTCTTAGGTTCATGTATATTTAGATTCATGTATTTAGGGAATTGGACTATTATTTATTTCTCCTTGTAAATATAATATGTAATTAATTATATAGTGTGTATAAATATCAAGGTTGCTGAGTGCTTTACTCACTCAAGCACATTCAGAAAATTTCTTATTCCTATTTTTCACATGGCATCAGAGCTCCTAATCTAGGAGACTCTACTTTCGCTAATCATTCTTTAGAAATTTGACTGGGTATTTTTATGCTGTTAGAACACTTCAATCTTGACTGGGCAACACATGCTGTCAAGTTTTTCCAATTAAACGCTATCTATACTTTTCCGGTAGCTATCCGTACAGTTTTCTGTAGCCGCCGGTACCGCTCTGCACATTTTTCAGCCGCTGCCTGCACAGTTCCAACTGCTGTTTCAGCCACTTTCTGCACAGTTCCAGCCGCTGTCCCTATATTTTCAGGGTTGATTTCTTCATCGAATCTTATTTTCTTTGGTATCTTATACATAAATATTTGGTTGTTGCTCCTTCACGATCAATAGTATGGAAAAGTCATCAGGTAATTGCAGTGTAGCGTATTCTGGTAAGTTTCCACTCTCATTTGGATTTCATGTCTCAGAAACACCTTCTTGTTTATTTTGGATATTAGATTCAGGAGCCACAGACCACATGACACCCTCTTCGAAACAATTCTCCACATATTCCCCTTGTCCCAGTAATAAAAAGATTTCTACTGCAGATGGTACTCTTGTAACTGTAGCGGACATTGGAGATATCCAAATAAATCATTCTATAACCCTAAAAAGGACCCTCCATGTTCCAAAACTATCCATGAACCTTGTCTCCATACAAAAACTTACAAATGATTTATCCTGTATGTTACTTTTCATAATGATTGTTGTATATTTCAAGATAATGAGTCGGGAAAGACGATTGGACGTGCTAGAGAAAAGAATGGCCTTTACTATCTTGAAGAACCAGATTAGTGTACAAAAGGTCACTTGTCCCACTCATTTATGTCAGAGTCAGTACTCTCTAAAAAGGAAAAAATATTTATTTTTCATTGTCGATTAGGTCATCCTTCTTTTGGAGTCATTAAAGTTTTGTTTCCGTCTTTATTCAATAAGGTAGATATTGAAAGTCTTCATTGTGATGTGTGTGAGTTTGCTAAACATAAGTGTTCACCTTTTCCATTAAAAAACAAAAGAAGCCTCTCCCCCTTCTATCTTATTCATTTAAATGTTTGGGGTCCCTCAACCAATCCAAATGTAACGGGTGCTAGGTGATTTGTTACTTTTATAGACGATTGTATCCGGGTTACTTGGGTGTTTTTACTCCAAAACAAGTCTGACGTCAGTACTGTTTTCCAAAAGTTTTTCTACATGATTAAAAATCAATTTGGAGTAAACATCAAAAGGCTTAGGTCTGATAATGGAAAAGAGTACTTCAATCATGTTCTTACTTCTTTCTGTCAAAAAGAGGGAATTGTCCATGAGTCTTGTGTTAAAACACCACAACAAAATGGAATTGCAGAAAGGAAAAATGGACATCTATTAGACCAACCCGAACACTATTGTTTCATCAAAATGTTCAAAAATATTTATGAGGGGAGGCTATTCTCACTAGTACATATCTTATTAATCGATTACCCTCTAGAGTATTAGGGTTCAAGAGTCCTATGAATGTTCTTTCTTCCTTCTATCCAAATTTGTCAGTAAGTAGTAATCTTAAACCTAGAATCTTTGGGTGTGTCTCATTTGTCCATGTGCATAGTCAAGACAAAAAAACTCGACCCTAGAGCCCTAAGATGTGTTTTTGTCGGGTATTCCTCTACTCAAAAGGGATATAAGTGTTTCCATCCTCCATCTAAAAAGTTTTTCATGTCGCGGGATGTTACCTTTCATGAGGAGGAACCATACTTCACTCAACCTTATCTTCAGGGGGGGAATTTTAAGGAAGATAAGGTTGAAAATCTCGATCTTTCTGGTCTTGAGTCAAATACACTTAATCTGTCTAGTATTAAGTCAAATACATCTGGTCATTCTAGTCATGAGTCAAATACACTCAATCTCTCTGGTCTCGAGTCAAATCCACCTAACTCTTCCACTTTAGAGTTAAATAAACCCAATCTTTTTGGTCCTGAGTTAAACACACTTGTACCAGACCCATCTGAGGCTGAAGAGCTAGGGGTTGAGTCAAATCAATCAAATACACCACTTGCTGAATTTGGACTTGAAGTGGATGTAAGATATGGAAAGAATCTGGTTTACATGAGAAAGTCAAAGGCCATTCCTGAATTGACACAAGTTCAAGAGTCTGACTCGACTCCTTTGAGTGAGGTAATTAATTCTTCTGAATTACAAGATAAAATGATGACTCAAACAATAGATGATGACCTAGACCTTCCAATTGCTATAAGAAAAGGTACCAGAAAATGCACCAAACAACCTTTATATCCCCTTTCAAACTATCTTTCTTTTCAAAAATTCTCACCTACCCATAGAGTCTTCCTTACAAACCTAAATGCTACTTCCATACCTACTAATGTTTCTGAGGCATTGTCTGATGAAAAATGGAAGCAAGCCATGAATATCGAAATGGACGCATTGAAGAAGAATGGAACTTGGGAGTTAGTGACTTTACCAGAAGGAAAGAGGCCGGTTGGATGCAAATGGTGTACACAGTAAAATATAGGGCTGATGGATCAATCGAAAGATATTGTTAAGAGTCCCACATCGGACAATATATGGCCTGAACATGTGTTTATAAGTGGGGGCAATCCTCACCCTACAAGCCGGTTTTGTAGGGTTGAATTAGGCCCAACCACATCTTAATATGGTATCAGAGCCTCGTTTAAGATCCAGTGGGCCATCCACCATTTAATTTCCACGCTCCAGTTGTCTAGTCCTGGGCGTGAGGGGGTGTGTTAAGAGTCCCACATTGGACAATATATGGCCTGAACATGTGTTTATAAATGGGGGCAATCCTCACCCTACAAGCCGGTTTTGTAGGGTTGAGTTAGGCCCAATCAAACATTCTAAGATTAACAATATATGGCCTGAACATGTGTTTATAAGTGGGGGCAATCCTCACCCTACAAGCCGGTTTTGTAGGGTTGAATTAGGCCCAACCACATCTTAATATGGTATTAGAGCCTCGTTTAAGATCCAGTGGACCATCCACCATTTATTTCCATGCTCCAGTTGTTTAGTTCTGGGCGTGAGGGGGTGTGTTAAGAGTCCCACATCGGACAATATATGGCCTGAACATGTGTTTATAAGTGGGGGCAATCCTCACCCTACAAGCCGGTTTTGTAGGGTTGAATTAGGCCCAACCACATCTTAATAGATATAAAGCCAAATTGGTTGCCAAAGGGTTTACACAAACTTATGGAATTGACTATTCAGAGACATTTGCTCCGGTTGCGAAGATGAATACAGTGAGAGTAATTTTGTCACTTGCTGCCAATTATGGTTGGGATTTACAACAATTTGATGTGAAGAATGCTTTCTTACATGGGAAACTCGAAGAGGAGATTTATATGCAGGTACCACCGGGGTATGAAAAAAATGTGTCTGACAATACGGTTTGCAGGTTGAAATAGGCATTATATGGTTTAAAACAATCACCTCGAGCATGGTTTGGAAGATTCACTAAGGTTGTGACATCTTTGGGGTACAAGCAAAGTCAAGGGGATCACACTTTGTTCATCAAACACTAGCCACAAGGGGGAGTAACAGTTCTGTTAGTATATGTGGATGACATTATAATGACAGGAGATGATTGGAAGGAGCAACAAATCTTGAGTCAGTGTTTGGCTAAGGAGTTTGAAATAAAAACTCTTGGAAAGCTGAAGTACTTCTTTGGAATCGAGGTGACACATTCCCGAAAAAGAATTTTTATATCTCAACAAAAATACAGTACAGATTTACTCAAAGATACTGGAAAAACAACGTGTAGACCTGCGATCGTTCCTATGGATCCACATCTTAAACTGAGTAATACAAAAGATGTTGCAGTAGATAAAGAAATGTATCAGTGTCTAGTTGGGAGATTAATTTACTTGTCTCACACTAGACCCGATATTGCATATGCTGAAAGTATGGTTAGTCAGTTCATGCATTGTCCTAAAGAAAACCATTTACAAGCAGTTCATAGAATCCTATAGTATCTTAAGGGAACTCCAGAAAGAGGAATTTTGTTCAAAAAAAATGGAAATACAACCCTTGAGGCCTACACTGATGCAGATTATGCAGGTTCAATTGTTGATAGAAGATCCACTACAGGGTATTGCACCTTTCTTGGAGGAAATCTTCTGACTTGGAGGAGTAAGAAGCAAAATGTAGCAGTCCGTTCTAGTGCAGAAGCTGAATTTCGAGCCATGGCACAAGGCATTTGTGAATTACTTTGGCTCAAAATTATTTTAGAAGATTTGAAAATCAAATGGGAAAGACCCATGAAGCTCTACTGTGATAATAAGTCAGCTATCAATATAGCACATAATCCAGTTCAACATGATCGAACTAAGCATATTGAGGTTGATAGACACTTCATTAAGGAGAAGCTTGATAGTGGGCTGATTTGCACCCCATATGTGTCCTCACAAGAGCAACTTGCAGATATTCTCACTGAAGGATTGAGTAGCACTAATTTTGAACGAATTGTATCCAAGCTGGGAATGGAGAATACTTATTCACCAGCTTGAGGGGAGTGTTGGAAATAGAAAAATAAATTGTATGTTTTCCACTAAAATGAGCATTTAAGTCTTATGTTCATGTATATTTAGATTCATGCATTTAGGGAGTTGGACTATTATTTATTTCTCCTTGTAAACATAATATGTAATTAATTATATAGTGTGTATAAATATCAAGGTTGCTAAGTGCTTTACTCACTCAAGCACATTCAGAAAATTTCTTATTCCTATTTTTCACAATACCATCTCAGAATGTGGGTTGAGCCTAACTCATTCCTACAAAAATGGCTTGTAGGATTAGGATTGTCCACTTATAAACACAACACATGCCATATCTCTAAGCAATGTGAGACTAAATCCACCCCTTCAAAGCCAACACAATGAAGGTGTTAGGGCTGCAATGAAGGCAAGCCAAAGTGCTGCAATTAAGGTGACTAGGGGCGGACCGCAATTTAGGTGGAAATTCCAACACTAAGGTTTCTCTCCGAATTATTTGGTCTTACTGGTTTGTGCATTTGAGCTTTTGATTTGTTATATACCTTATATCCTGCATATTGGATGTGCCAACAACAAGACTTATGGTGCATGCAAGATAACATAGCTAGTTTCATGATTGAATAGTATCTGATTTATGTTCTGTATCTATAATTACTACCAATACATTCTAGGGACATTTAAATATTGGAAAGTAAATTATAATGATGTGAAAAAAGAGTTAGTTAATGGACTAAAAAAAAAAATTTTGTTCAATACTTTGTTCAATACTTATATGAAATTGTATGTTCTCTAGTCAATTCATTATTGTTCCATTTCAATTAATCAGGTATGTTAAGCGGCAGCATCTCCTTGATGTTACTGAAGTGTTTAGGGTACTCAATGCTGAGAAGAAATTTCGGATAACCAAACTTGCTTTTTACCTAACAATGGTTATTATAACTATCTTCAGGTTTGTCCTTAAAATAGCATACCACTTCTGTACCGTGTTTTGGGTTTACATTATTACTGCTTAACTTCGTGTCCACTTATTATTAAAATGTAGGAAAATCATTAGGACTCATACTGCAGGAAGCCTATTATTTTAAACATCTAAGTTTGAGTAATAAGATATTTGGGCCACTGTTCTATAATACTAATTAAAAATTACTCCTGAATGGTAAACAATTTGTTATTCTGAGATACATGTAATATGTGGCCCAAATAATTTGTTATTCTGAGATACATTAGTATTTGGCCCACATGTAAACATGATTCAATAATTTGCTATTCTGAGATATATTAATTATTTATTTACCAACATATCCCTAATTGTGATATATTTTTCTACATTCTATAATAAATACTATGATGGAAAAATAAACCAACTATCTCTCCTGAAGGGTAAACAAGTAAAATAATATCAATTGTCAATAAATTTAATACTATTACTACTATCAATTTGTTTAATTCCCGCGATTTAGTCAACAAGGTACTATATTTAGGGGTGAATGTAGTAACTAATATTATAAGTTTAAAGCAGTGGTGAAAGCTCTTCATTTCTGCAACTCTCTCCAGTTCTATGCGACCAGACTCTTTAACTCTCTTCGTTCATTTCATTTCCTTCTCTCCCTCGTTCGTTTTCTCCAGTTTTTCATCTGTTTCATCCTTACTCTTCTTTTGACAGTTCTCTTCTGTGCCCGAGTTCTTTTCTGTTTTTGTTCTGTCTTTGTTAACCATATGGCTTCAAATTCAATGCTGCTACTGCTGGGAGATCGCTGCCTCCCCTGTTCCTAGTTATAACAACAAGCCTAAGAAGTCTAAGAATGCTCATGAAATTAGAAGTGACGTTGCTTAGAAGTATGGAGTTTCAGTGGATGAAAGTGCTTTAAAACCGGAGTGTAAAATAATCACTACTGAAGATGATAGCTTAGAATTTACTGAAAAAATGAAAAGCAGTGAAATGGAGGGGGTTAACAGCTCCAAAAATTGTTTTAAGAAGAGGAGATTTAGCTAACAAACCATCATCAATAACATGTTTAAGAAGGAATTGAAAGAGGATGCATGAAGAGATTCCGTGAATGATCTTGTTTTTGTCATAATGCAAAATTGTCCAAGAAGAAGCAATTTAGAAGACCACCCAAGCAGATACAAACTCGGTGACATTTCATCCGATGATGAGATTAAACTCGGTGACATTTCATCAGATGATGAGTGGATTTTGGAAGGAAGTTGAGCAAATCAAGATATATTAAATTATTTTCATTTTTAATTTGAGGACTACATGTTCATTTCTTGATATTTTTACTAGCTATAGCTGTTTTTTTTTTACTTATGAAGTTGAGTTATAAGTTTGTAGTATGAGTTGTTTTACTTAACCTAATAAATTTAAGCTTAGTTAACTATTTGAAGTATGGTTTAAAGGATTTATTTCTTTTGTGCTATTTTATATGCATATATATGAGTTTCATGAAGTTTTTACAATCTTACTATCGTGTTACAATTACACATTTTACAATTTTCCCCCCCTTTCCGATTAAGCGTAAAAATCTTGATTTTTATGACCTTGGTGGTGTAAATTAATGCATTTTATTTGGTGTATAACTGTACATATTATTGAATGTTGTATAACTTAATCGTGACAATTTGTAATAAAACTATTAAACAAACAAGGAGACTTTGTCAATTAAAGTTCATGTAAGCGTTTTTATTTTGTGTTAGTTAAATATAACTAAAACGCATCCCTTGACCCTTCGTTACTTATTCTATTCCATTCCAATACTTTCAATTCACAAATTCGAGCATGCTTTAGATGATGCACACGCTCTCTTTACATAAACGAGAAAGCAACCTCCCAAACTCACTCAACTAACTCACCTTCTTTTGATTTGCTTCAAAGTTACACTCACCTTCTCGACAAAACGATTTGTAATTTTACAAAAATATGGTTTTTGAAGATTATAGGATTGCAATAATTTTTAACTTATGCCCAAACTGCATTGTAGGATTTTTTAACGGAATGGCATTATGGGATTAGTTACTAGATTTCTAGTATGTACATAGTAAGTAATATCGTGTAATCTATGTTGGAGTGGGAATTCTATCCATGATTAGATAAAAAGTTGTCTGGTAAGTGGTAGTGGATTTCAAGTGGATCTCATAAATGACAGTAATTTTTTTTGAAGTTATGAAATTGAAATCAGCACATCCTCCACCTTTACCATATTGTATGTGTATATCTTGATATCTGGTTCATAGTGATTGGGGAAGTGACGTCTCATTGATTGTTTAACTATAGTTGGGTTTAAGTTTAATTAATACTTGTTTTAGAATATATGGAAAATATCTTATTCTCTTTAAGTTCTAAGTTAGAGTAATTTACAATGATTTGGACTATATCTTAGGATTGGTTTCCATTTATTTTTTATATTTCATCATTTGTTTCTGTATTTTAATTAGGACTAAAAGAGTCTAGTATTAGTATAAATATGCCAGTGCTTAGTATTTTCTATTTTGTATCTGTTATGATCCTACATCGACAAGAGGCATGATCACTTTTGAGCTAGCTTAGAACCCAAACTTTGAGTAAAAGCCATTATCACAATTCGAAGTCTTTGTTCTTTCTCTTTCCTTATCTAAATTTGTAACTCAAACAACTTGATTCAGGGGGAGTTAATTTGTTTTTGTTCATACAACACCAAGTTTAGTCTTTGTGATGTAAAGTAATTTCCAGCTTGTAGGACTGTTTTAAACAAAACTCCATGGGAAAGAACTGATCTGTGACGAGCAGTTCATGATATGAGTTTGTGAACTATTTCGTCACAGTTTGGTTCTTTTCGATGTGCGGTTCATATCACTTTTTGTTTTTTTTAACAGTCCTAATATTCAGTTTTTCTTTTGGTTTGTTTACAGCCATAATGTCAGTTAATAATAGCAATTTGGTACAGTCTGGTTCATAAAGAATCAGTTTGGTAAAAAAGAGAGTAAAATTCAATTTTGTTAAGGTAGTTCATGTTCAGTTCGGAAACACAACCTGTGTGCACCGAATCTTTATATCAGTCTGGCTTGGCACAAACCATTAACAGTTCAGTTTATGGTTCAGTGTGGTTCGGTTAGGTCAGGTTTTACGAGTTAAACTGCTAATGCCTTATGATACGGGAAAGAGTGCGTTTTGAAATAATCAAAATATTGAATGTTATAGTTTTGCACTGCTTACTGGTGTATCTTTAATTTAAGTAACATTTTTCGTGACTTACTATTTATCTTTCTCTGAAAGGGCCTGAAGGTTAACCTCTCAACCAACTTTCCATTTGCAGGCTTGTATTACTTGCCGTCTTCTATTTAGATATGGATGATGAATGACATGGAGAACCTTTGAATACCTGCTTCTTGTGCAGTATAACAACCTATGTGTAAGTTACTCAATAATTTCTCCCTCTATATTCTTTTATTTCATAGGAATCTGTGATTTTATTTTGTGGTTTTATACTATCAGATTTAGAAGTAACATATCACAGCCCACACAGACAGAGATTTGTCACTAACTCGAATGAGCATGTTGTTTGACATCTATTAAGTATTTTTCCTGAAGTAATTTGCCAATTGAATTTGGACTAATAAACAAGAAAAATGGAATAATCATAAAAGAAAAGCTTGCAGAGGTACTGTGAACCAAAGTGGATTGTTTCTTAAAAATGTTATAACTTGTTGCAAAAAAGAAACACCTTGTGAACATTTTTGCATGAACCGTAGTATTAAAAGAGTAGCTTCTAATTGTTTATAATTATGATGCTTTCACTTCCAATCAAGGTGTTTTGTTATCTATTTTCAGTGTAAAAAGCTAATCTTTCATTTCTAGCATGATTATAAAAGCTTCAAGTTAAATGGCGTGAGCTCTGCATGTTGTTTTGGTTACATGCAGAGTTGTAGAATTTGTGAGGAATTTTAAGTGTGCGATATAGAGATTCATCTTCATGATCAAGTAGTTCCTGAAGAAACTTGTTGGCGCTTGAGCTAGTACATGTTTATTTGGATTTTACTTTTGGTCCATGATGTTTATTTGGACTTAAGGAATTTAACAAGTTGTATTAAAGAACAGAAACACATCTTGTAATAGAAATGAAAACCCTGTACTTTTTAATGCAACATGGGGTGTATCATTTTAAGTAGAATTTTACAACTCTGTCCCTGTATCATTTGGTGTTCATTTAAATCTTCTTATTTCTCTTTAGGGCCCGTTTGTTTTGTTTTTTTTTAAATGATTTTTATAGTATTACATAATTTTATGTAAAAAAATTTATAAAGAAATTATAAAGTTTTTTTGTAATATTTCAAAAAACAATTTTATAAAATCTATTTTAAAAAATATAAAGAAAAGAAATCATTTTTTTAAAAGTTGAAACAAATTGACCTTTAATAATTGTATTGAATTTTTTTATGCCAATAAAGATGTGTTTTACTGGTGCTTTGCACTGAAGAATGGTTTGAAGAATATTAGTCATAAGACGATTGAATCTGCAAAAGCAATGAGGGGTTCAACTCTCACATTATGGTTGTGGTAGTAGTGTCAATGCCGTCAAATATTGCGTTGTAATTTAAGTTTAGATAATTGGTCTAACAATTTATGTTTGTCGTGAGTTGGTTGAGACATCAGAGTTTAATCTATCACCTTCAAAATTATACATGGTATCTTTCAAAAAAATTTATTCACTTTTATTTTTGGATGAGTTGAACATAATTTTCGGACAAAATTTTCGATAGAAAGATTGAAATTTCTGATACCACTCAAATTTTTGGTACAACTCTACGAAAATTCCAGTACCCTACATTTTCGATAGTGTAATTTGCAATTTCCAATGTACAGGAAATTTCAATTAATTTGAAATTTTTGGTAGTATTAAAAACATGATTTTTTGAACGGTTGAGATTTACCGGACATATTTGGATGATTCTGATTGTACCGACACATATTTATGGTTTACAATGCATCATCATCTGTATAAATAGGGACATTTGTTATAGAGAAAATACATCTCAAAAATATCTCTTCCTCAATTTCTGGTTAAGACAAAAGTGTATTACAATGACAACAATCCTCCTGTTGAATTCAAGCTTCCAGATGGCTCAGAATCCTTTGCCACCTTGAAAGAAACGTTGAATAATACACACTAGGAGCCTCCATCTCCTCACTAGGAGCCTGTACATATGCAATGGATACTCTATGACTCCGAAGACGGGGTGCGCGAAACTGCACATTTTGTTCAACCATCTGTTTCCGGTGAGAACTGGTCGGAGGATGACGTCTAGCCCGCAGCTCTGAAGCTTGTGCCTCGTCAGTACGAGTTTTAGCATCAACTCTATCAGTGGGTCGTTCCGTAATAGAACTATCTCTGCTTCTGATCCTTACTGTAAAATTAGAAAATATCAGGAAAATATAAAATACCGGAAATCTCTAAATTTTCGGTAACTTTTCAAAAAAATTTGAATTATCGAAAATTTAAAAAATTCCGGTATTATGTGACGCACCGGAAATTTTGAAATTTCCGGTATAAATGGTAAATGAAAATATCGGATATTTTGAAATTTCTAGTATAAAATATCGGATATTTTGAAATTCCCGATACAAAGTACCGCAAATTTCACAAAAATATCGTAAATTACTATTTCGTAAAAAAATTTATATCGTCTACGAAATTTCTAATATCACTTAAAAATTTGAAAAATCCTGATTTAAATCTGAACAATTTAGTCTTTTTCACATTATTTGGGGGTGGGAGTGTCATGTATAATATTAGAGATGAGAATTTAATTTCTCTTGAAACATGCAATGAAAAAGGATTTCATTTTTTTAAAAGAATTAAACAATGACAAATTAGAACTTGAATACTGCAAAAGTGAGGTGTAATTGGTTGATATTCTAACAAAGTTATTGAAGCAAGACTTGAAGAAACCAAGACTTGATGATTTGAAGAAGCTTATAATAATGAAAAATCTTTTAAATATGAATTAGACGGTGTGTTGAGTTGTAGTTTGTCTCGAGACATTTTGAATACAATTGATTTGCCGATAATCATTTAAGGGTCATGTTATGTTAATTTGTACTCTAAAAACACAATGTTAAAAAATTTATAAACAAAAAATTTTATGTTGAAAATAATAATAATAAAGTATAAATAATAAAATCAATGCACAATTTCTAAAACTTTTTTTTTTTATATTTAACTCTTAATGTGAACTTTAAAGACACAAGTTAACGTTGTCTATTATTTAATACCATCCATTCCAAAAAAAGTTAAATTTAGAAGAGCCAATTTATTAAGAACACATCTGATTGACACCTTGTGATCTGACACCTTTAGGTTATGTATTACATTTTGTGCAAACTATCTTTTTCTTTCTTTGCCAACTCCGTTCACCCTTCCCTAAACTTTGGTGACGACTTGTTCTAAATGTTTGCCTTTCTTTTCAAATTTCACAACTCATTTGGTTCACTGGGCTTCGAGCGGTTTTCATTAAAATTTTAGCTTGGCATCTTCAATCTTCTTTAGGTACCATTTTTATCCCTCTTGTTTACTGTAATCACTTCTTGCTATATCTTTTAGCAATGACCAATCTAAACTTGCAAATATTATAGACATACCCAACGACGATGATATAAGTGACACTTCATTTGACACAGGCGTTGTAGACCTAAAAGTTTTGGGTATTTTTCCTTTGACGGGTACTCACCCTTTAGTCAACCTTATAGTCCTTAGTGACAATTCTGAGTCCAGGGAGGGTTCTACCTAAAGTGGTAGTGGGCTCATGAATCCCCATTTTGGTGGAACCGCAAATAACCTTATAGGAGGAGTTGGAGGGGTATACTTGGATCTTCGTCTTAGAAGAGATGTTGGTCTTTATTCCATTCTCAAGTGTTGCATGTGGAAAATCTCGAGTCTCTTAAAGCGTATTAGAATGATTTGTGGGCTCATTATTTCATTAGGGTTTTTAGGTCTTTGCCTGTCTTTTTATTTGTGCTACTACCAGCTACAAATGTGTCCATAACTTGATGTTGTTTGCCCCTATTTCAGCTGTTAATGTGATACATGCGATGGAAGCTTCATACTCAACCTTGTGATTGGTGGTGGAGAACTCAAAAATGTCGGGACGCTTCAATCACCAAATCGACTTCATTTTTCAATATGACCAACCCCGCTTCTTTTGCTATTGCATTACCTATCTATGAACATGATCCATGTATGAGCTGGTTCAGGTACACCCATAGTCATTTCTGCTACAACATCTACAAACAATTGGGCCTTCAACGCTTTCACATGCTCGAAGAAGACGTCAAACTCAAAGATCTCGATGGGCCATTTGGTTAGATATCCTTCCAAATTTGGCATGTGGAGGATTTGTTTCAGGGGTAGATCGGTACGAACAATGACAACATGCACCAAGAAATAACATTGCAACTTCCTGGATGTATTCACTCATGCTAACAATAATTTCTCTATCTTTTGATAACATGTTTCATATTCAGCTAGCGACTTAGATATGAAGTACAACGGGCTCCGACTAACATCCATTTCTTATGCGAGGACAACACTAACTGCTCCAGTAGAGACAATTTGATAAAGGAACAAAACTTCTCCAACCACGAGTTTGGATAACACCGATGTGATTAATAAGGTTGTCTTTAGAGATATAAACGTATGCTCACACACTAGAGTCCACTCAAAGTTTTCTTCTTTATTTATTAACTTATAAAATGGTAATGTGTGTTGGGCCGACATCGAGATGAATATGTTTAGTGTTGTTAGCATCCCGTTTAATTTCATTACCTGTTTTTTTATCATTAGCATTCCCATCTTGATGACTGCTTCCCATTTATCCGAGTTCACTTTTATGCCTCTCTTTGTAAAGTAGAAGCCTGTGAATTTTTTTACTCTTACTCCAAGGTACATTTCAATGGATTGAGCCTCATAATGTGTTGTCGAAACCTTCAGAACATACTGGTTAAATATTCATCGTGTAATCCTTCTTCGATGAACTTGACAATTATATCATCCAAGTAAACTTTTAATTTTTCACCTATCTCTTCTTTTAAGATTTTTTCACCATCCCCTGGTATGTTTCTCATGTGTTATTCAAGCTAAACAAAATGGCATTGTATCGATAGTTAGCTTGTTTGATCATGAAGGTACTTTTCCCCGTCTTCATCGAACATGGGTGTTTGGTCATAACATGAATATGTGTGACAAAAATCTGTAGTCAGCTGCATTATTTATGAGTTTGTCAATGTTTGGGAGCGAATATAAATCTTTCAGACATGCTCGATTGAGGTCATTATAGTCAACACACATTCTCTACTTCCTTGTTGA